TTTTTTTGGTTGAAACGAGGCTTTCAATTGAGAAGAATAAAAGTACTTGAAAGGGCATTAAAAATCCTAACTTTGCAAAAAAAAAATGGCTCCAATCCAAAATTACCAATTTCAGTGGGAAATTTGATGCCCAATTATAAGCATGAAACCTAGTAATTGACCAAACCTCATCGTTCTCACAAAATCCAAAAAGTTAAGGTAATATCCTCTCAATCCAAAGGGCCCAAAGGATTCTATGAAGTACAGCTGACACGAGATCCAAACCTCACCATGAAACAGTGGATGCACAATCATGGTGAACCTTTTTCATTTCCTCCTTTTACGATTTCCTTGGCTTTTCCTTTGGGAGAATGTCTGGTCATCCTGTCTTAAATGCATTATTTTCTTAGTTTTAGGACTGCTGTCTGGTCATCCTGTCTTAAAAGCATTATTTTCTTAGTTTTAGGATTACTGTCTGGTCATCCTGTCATAATAGTGGTGTAATTGTATTCTTGGTAGTTTGTTCTGCGGATTGGTTATAAATATTTTTGGAGTTGGGAAGTTTAAAGATTAGGCATAGCTTTGGGATGTCAGTCTGTAGTGATGGTTTGTGAGGGAGAGATATCCCTATCGAACTGTTATTAACATTGGTTTCTCTTGATATTGCAATATAGCTACATCTTACTTGTAATTGGTATCGTAATATATATCAATCTCAATTTTTTTTTGAGGAGAAACAAAACGAAATACTACAAAAGATGTGGAACTTTGACAAGCTCTTCCACTGGGCCAGAACAGTATCCTAGGAACCATTGAATCGATTCTCTCTCAAGCATAACTTTCAAGGAAAAACTGTTTATATGCAGCGAAAGAGTTCTTTTTGTTGTTTCTGACTGTCCACTAAGATGGTAACGAGATGTTTTTTTTGGGGGGTGATAAAAAACAAAGAAATTCATAAAAAGGATGAAGCCAAACGAAGCAACCTAGGGGACAATGGGTTAAGGCATACCTTTTCTCAAAGGAGGGATTGCAAAAAGACTTTCCGCTCCAAAATGATAGAGCCTGTAGCGAGGTCATATTTTATTTGATGTTCATATCCTTCCCATATTTGTTTTTTCAGCTTGTTTTAGAAGGTGTGAGAGCAAGGCAATTGCAGGAGATTATGCTCATAGAGAAACAGACCTTGGAAAAGGAGGTTCAGCAAGCCAATGCATCTCTTGTACTTTATGAGATGAAAGCTGCTAGAATTGAAGACCAGGTAATATGAGCATAATGTTGAAACATTAACTATAGGGATGGATAATTGTAATTTACTTCTGAATAATCATGTTATATTTGCTTATTTATCATTGTAGTTTGATTAATATTACAGTTGAGAGGCTGCTCGGATCATATTAAGAAAATTAAAGATGTCAAGTTACATGACACAGATACCCTAGAAAACATCCAAAAAAGATTATTGGATATTAAACTAGCATCTCAACAAACAAGGGAGTCGCTTGATCAATCCCAGTCTAAAGTTGAAAAAAGTCGAACGACTCAAGCAGAGCTGCAGATAGAATTAGAAAAAGAAAGGTGTGGATATTTTCTGTTTCTTTTCTTTTATTTTGTTCTCACAGAGCATGCAAGTGATTTTTAGCTCTTGTTTAGGTTTGAGAAGAAAAGAATTGAAGAGGACCTAGAAGTTGTAGGCAGAAAAGCTTCACGGCTTGAAGCACAGATGGAAAGCTCATCAGTGGTTGAAAAGCTTCATGAGGAACTTGGGGAATATGAAAAGATAGTGAATTGCAAAATTTGTGTCGACAGTAGAAAGCAGGTAACATTTTTTTTATTCTAGCATACTGATTTTTATGCATATTTAGCTTAGAAATTGGAATTCATGTGTGCTTTCTAGAAAATATTACGACGAGGAAATCTTAATCGGCTAGTGGCTGGGAGATGAATTCCTTTAAGATATAAGCTTATTGTAGATGGTAAAATCAAATGTTTGGGGACCAAAATTGCTATGCTTGATTCAACAAGTATGTTGTATCGAGTGTTGATGCCTCAACTTTGAATGTTGTACTTCCATGTTCTTCAAGATATCTTTTTCTATCTTAGTACGACAACTTGTTCACAAATCTCTGTCCACGTCTTTTCCTTGTTCTTCATTTCATGTTAAAATTGATTTTTCTTTTGGCTCTGCAGGTTGTCATTACAAAGTGTTTCCACTTGTTCTGTAATCCCTGTGTACAAAATATCTTGAAGAGTCAGCATCGCAAATGCCCAAGATGTAGTGCAAGTTTTGGGCCCAATGATGTCAAGCAAGTTTTCTTTTGACTTGAAACTGCTCATACGTACCTTCAGTAAGACTTAACTCAGCCGCCCTTGGTGCACATTTCATGGCCATTTGGTTGAGGCAAGAGTTGACACGGGAATACAAACAGGTTTACGTGTATGACTATGCTAGAATGTAGGTCAAACAGTGCATGAGACGAGAGAACGGAATATGGAATTTGCTGATTCATAGCAATTTAAGCAAATCATTTAGATCGTTGGCTTGTTTCTAGATTTTTTTTTAATTTTTTTTTTGTTAAAAGTTTATTAAGATGCACATTTATTTTACCTTCTCTTCTGATGTGGTTGGAGCAACTGGAAGCTTTCAATTTATTATTTGCAGAATTAATCAGAATCGCTTCTCACTGCTATACAGCCATGGATGGACATAGACGAACAAGTTTTACTTTGCTCAACCAAAAAATAGCACGCCCACTCCAACAGTTGAAGCTAGAGGTGATGAGTGGTGTTCTTAATGCAAACGGGGTTTGCCCTCTCAAAACAGCTGGTGGGACAACGTCATCACTCCTGCCGGCAAAAAATTTTGTACATGACTTGGTTAGGTCCTAGAAGCTGATATTTCTATTTGATTTATCTTATACATTTATTCCCCATTTTCTCCTTGATGTATTTGTGGATCCATGTTTCAATGTTTTATCGAATCTATCATCAGCACATGAGGTGCGCAATTTGTTTGAAGACGCTCGCTAGTATAAGAGTTGCTTGTTTATTTGGCAACTTTTTAATCTTATTTATCATTATCATTATTATTATTTCCTTCATTTTGGCCCTGACCGTAGCAGTTGGTTAACCTAAAGCAGTTTTAAACAGAGAAAAATGAAGCTTTCTTCAATGGCATTTCAACCAATCTGCAAATCCCAGTTCTCAAGAACATTAGCGATTACCATTTTCTTTGATCAAAAGGTTGACTACTGCTAAATTTTCTACTTTTTGTCAGTCCATTTATGGACAGGATACTTTAATCCGATTGATGATCAGGCTGTGATGTCTTAAACATAGCATGTGAAATGTTTTGGGTGTAATGATTATAATTGCCCCCAGAAGAAGGGTCCTACTGTACGGAGGATGAAATTTGGTTAGCTAGAAAGGACTATGTCTTGTTCTGGACGTGCGGTGGTTCAATCTAGTGAGAGCTGTTCTTTGTTGTATAATTTTTATTTACTTATTTTTATTTTATGAGGTTGCTGTGACTAATTATATACTGATAAGCAAGTACTGAAAGATTCTAACTTTTATAAGCATTACTGTAGTTCAACTTACAGAAAGGGTTTGCCCCTTCAAGGACAGACCCACACAAGAGAGAAACAATAAGGAACAAAATGGGGACAGCACAGATCAGAAAGATTCAAGCGTCACATGATTTCTCCTAAAGCATTTTTGCACCTCTTTTGGACTCGCAAAACAACAAGTTTGAAGGAAACTTGCTACATGGGGTATGATTTCTTTTATCTCCTTTTCAGTTGGGTCAGTGCCCATAACTCTTTTTGGCTGTGTTACTTGACAGTATTCTTTCCTCTTTTTCGTTTCTCGTTTACCCTCCATCATATTACTTATTCATTTAAAAATGAGGATAAACATAGGGCCAATAATGCTGCGATGAATGGTGATCATGGTTTTTGGTTGTGATGCAGACTTCAATAAAGACGATATTGATGTCAACTAGCTCCTGAATTAACTTCATTTGCAAGGTATTCAATAATTGTGTTATTACAAATCTACTCTTCTTCTTGACTTTACTTTTGTCATATTCCAATTATTATTAAATCAGAAAGCATTGGTGGTGCAGTTCAGCAGTGGAATACTGTTTAATTAAATGTTTCTTCTTTGAAAAGATTATGAGGATCATTTCTGTATCGCAATACATCTGTTGGGGCCAAGGGGATCTCATATCATCCTTTAAACTTTGGCCAATAGCTAAAGAAAATGATGGCTATTTGGAATATTATAAAGAAGATATAATGATGGTGAGAAAACATGAATGAGCTCACTTACCACCGGACCTTGTGAATTGAAATGTCTCATGGTATGAACATGACGTCTCTCTGTTTGCTACTTGTTGGAAAATTGCAATTCAAACTACTCTCTCTCTGGTTCCTATAGCAGCCAGCTGCCTTGATGTGATGAACTTGTGTTTTTATTTGATCCTCTTGCAAAACTTGATGGAGAAAGCACATCCTATTGTGAGGATATATTTGGATGATCTGAAGTTTAAATTTTAACCTTCAAACCAGACCATATTTGTGATAATTGATATATTTCTTTTGAGTTAGTGGTCAAAGTTTCAAACTTATATTTAGTTGGTAGATTTAACTCTTAGATCGCTGGAGTATGAAACTTTCATATATGGTATATTTTAAACTTTTAAACTATCCATCAAAATATTCGATTTAACAGTTTTAGTACAATTATTTGTCAAATTTAGGTGTATACTATATAAATAGGGATTATTTTCAGTCTTATTCCAATGGCCATATATTGAAGAAAAAAAAAATATTTTTATTAAAATAATTCATTTCATTAAATTTAAAAATAATAATAGCAATTAATATTGAGAAATATATAGTGTAGATACCTTTCCAACGTTGAAAGATAAGGTAATAGAAACTTTTTTTCCCGCTTCAAAAAAGGGTAACCATAAATCAGAAGTGTGGAATGAGTTTAGGAACAGCAAATTTCCATTTTTTTTTTACTCTGTTATTCATTTCTTTATCATAACAAAAATAACATCACCTCTGGGAACAGAATTTTGATGGGACTGAAAGATGCAGACAAGTATTGAGAACTTAAATGAGTTCCCAGAATGAAGGCTCTTCCAGCCGAAATCCGCTATTATCGGCCGCCGCACAAAACTGCCACGACCAAGAATGATACAGAAACCTTTCTTTCAAATCACAACTTCCCACGAACAAATCAGGCAAATCGAACAATGTCTCATCGCCGGTGGAGTTTGTGGAGTCCTCTGTTCTGTCTCCGCCATCGCTACGGGGAAACAGAGTCTCCCTGCTCTCCTCCGCTGCTTCCCCTCCTCCGCCTTCATGGTTGCTTCCGGCGGAAAATGTGGCTGCCGCTGCCTGCGCCGCAGCGGCCTGAATGTCCTTGTGGGACATGGAGAGCGGGCGAGGAAGGAATTGGGCTAATTCAGGGAAATTGAGAAAAGCAGAGTGACCCTTTATGGCCAGCGCAGCGGAGTCGTGGGCTCGGGCTGCCATTTCCGGCGTTGGGTAAGTTCCAAGCCAAATTCTGGTCTTCTTCCTTGGCTCGCGAATCTCAGAGACCCATTTGCCCCAATTTCGTTTTCGAACTCCTCTGAACATGGGGTGGTTGCTCTGTTCTTGGGTTCTCCTCCGATTTCTCTTCTGGGAAACTGGTTGTCGTTCCTGTGAACATGGGGTGGTGATAGAGGAAGAGGAAGAGGAAGAGGGGCAAAAGGTGGTTGCTTTAGCATCCGAATCTTCAGTGAGATTGAAAGATGGTTCCATTCGATGATGGTGAGAGAGGGGAGGGAAGGGTAAACGTGGTTAAGTATAATTTGGCACCACCATGGGAACACGCTTTTGTGTGTGTTTTGATTTGAAACGGGATGGGTTGGATTGGTGGTGTGAAGGAAAAGAAAGAATAAGAGTACAAAAAGGAGGACTGGGATCACACAATACACCTCAATGCCTATTTTCATTACCATGTGGCTCTTTCCAAAACCCATCTTCTCATTTTATACATACATGCATACATACATATATATATATATATATATATATATATTCAAATCTTGGATGTCCATTGTTTTACAAGTTTTTTTTTTTTCTAAAAAAAAAAATAGTAAATTAAAGTGGTGTGTAGAAATACGTTATTTAAAGGTCAACGTTGACCACCTCACCAACTCAATTCATTATGGAATGATAAAGATGGTAAGTTAATCTCGATATTGGGGCATGCATGTATGCAACATGTCTTATACTATTCACTCACACCGTATTATTTACTCCCCAAGTCATGATTAAATTAAATTAAATTTATTGTTCTTATTTCTATAAGGCTCCGTTGATTCTTGGGTCTTATTTATTATTATTATTATTATTATTATTTTTGTGTAGGTCACTCAATTATTTTTGTTGGTATGTCAATGAAGATGAATATTTTGAGCATATTATTTGATTTTTGAGTAGGCTGTGATGGTAAAATAAATATTGTTTTTGGTTGACCAAGTCTTTGCATGAAGCACTAAAGCAAGCAAGTCATTGATATATGAGCTTTTTTTATGGGACAAACTTTTACCAAATTTGGTTCAGTTTCTTTGTAAAACCGCTACCAATTTTATCATTATATTATCAATTTTTTCTTATTTATGTTTTTACCTTTTTCATTTTAATATATCAAAATTAATCCAAATTTACTTGAGGTGTTCTGTAGGCATGGAGGAGAGGAAGGTAATTTCAATCCATCTTCATTACATATATATGTGTGTGTGTACAAACCTGGAGTAATCCAGAAAGCACCCGTATTTTTCAAAAATAAATAAATAAACAAATAATAATAATCCGAAAACTACCAATTCTGTTTGCCCAAGTGGATTTTAAATAGTCCTTGTTGTTCTGCGCTTTATGCATGGAAGATGCTTTCTCATTCCAATTATTTTTTAATTCCCTTTTTTTTCTGCTTACTTACATTAAAGTAATATATTTACTCGCTTCATATAACAATTTTCCTTATATTCTCTATTTTTATAAATATATTCTTTTTATCTTTATTGCATAATTACTTTTTACTCTTTTTTTTGTGTGAATATCTTAATGTTAAGTTATAGTCACGGAGAGTATTTAGGTTGTCTTCCTATCAAATTTATACTTTGATAATTTAAATATAACTTTACCAGAATCGATACATGTGTTAGACTAGGATTATATTTAAAACACAACAAAAATGATTGTACTACAAGTACACGACAACAGTAACGCCTTCTAATTATCTCCGACAATCCGACATATTATTATCAATCATTAATAATGTATACGACAAAACTAATAAATTATGGATCGAGCATGCAAAAAGTAGATCGACACACAAGCTATTTATGGAAACCCCATGACGTTATATATGAAAGGCGTTATTTAAATCATTAATTTTAGCTTGTGTAATTATAATATCGCATGTTGTTATTTGTAATCGATGTTCGACCAATTAATTATCCGTGGATGGTTCGATCTCGGCGTTGGCTTGGGAAGAGAAAAAATGAAAGGGAGGGAGTAGAAATGGAATTTAAAATGAAGAAGGGAGGGAGGGAGGGAGGGAGGGAGAATGAAAAGGAATGGAGGAATATTAGGGGGAATGGCCAAAGACAATGCATGCAGTGGAAACGGGCAATACACACTTGGAGGGCATAGAGGAGAGACAATGCATTTAAGCTAAGCTTACAACTGCTAATGATTCATATATGAGTGTGTGTTGTGTGTGTTTGGGTGTCCCTGCATCGCACTCTTATGATCTGACCGTTCCTGGTTTCCATTTCAGCAATGGCACAATTCTCCCAACGCCGTTCATTCCCCTAACTCATATCTGTTTGTGTTTTCCATTCTATATATTCTTCTCAACACCCCTCCCTTTGTGTTCAACAACACACAGTTTCACTTCCCTTCTCCAAGCACACAGTCCCTTTCTTTTTTCTTTTTTTTTTCTTTTTTTTTTTTACAGTCCACAGACACAGCGCAGCACACAGCGAAAGAGAGAGGGAGGCAGAGATGGGTGATAAGGAGGCAGTGGAGGAGGGGACTACCAACGGAGGAGGTGACCTGAACCCAAATGCAAAGGAGTGGAGCCCCATTCACGATTCCGCGCCGGAGGAAGATCGCTGCCTGTTTCTGACCTTCTCCAATGGGTACCCGCTGACTGAGCACCAGATCGTCCACTTCTTCACCCGGTACGCACGCACGCATGCCCTGTTTTTATTAAAGAATTGGATATATTATATAATTTTTGATGTAGACAATTCGGAGCGTGCATTGAGAGGGTGTATGTGCACTACCGTGAGGGAGGGAAGGAACCGCCGTTGTTTGGGAAGGTGGTGTTTGTGGCGTCTTCGATACCAGCCATCATTCTGGAAGGGAAAGATGAAGCCAAGTTTTGTATTGAGAGCAGGACGATGTGGTGTAAGAGGTACGAGGCCAGAAAGGCTCGCTACAGGCTTTGCCGAGGGCGATGATGAACCAACTCATCCAAATCACCGCCGCCGCCGCCGCCGCCACCACCACCACCACCCTTATCATCATGTTCTCATATCAGATCAAGAGTATCTTTGGTTCCAATAAATTAGAGAACTGTTTCATTAATTAATCTCCGTTTTCTTCTTCCTTTTCTTATTTCAATATCCAAACAGTGCACTAATCTTATTAAAACAAAACAAAAAATGAAATGAACTTGAGGATGCATGAGGGAGAAGGAGGGGACTCATGGTTGACTTCCTGTAAACAAATATAAGGTAACTTTTTTTGCGCATTAAAATTGGGTAACCGTATTAGAGGTTTTGAGTCCAGTAAAACCTGGAATTGGGCCACACCTTTTTCTTTTCTTTTCTTTTCTTTTCTTTTCTTTTCTTTTCTTTTCTTTTCTTTTCTTTCAAAGGGATAAAATCATCTCTAAACAAACTAACTTTGACCATTTGTCTGCATTCATCGCTTGCATAATTTATTCAATATTACCATATTTGCCCACAAATAATTATGATTAAATTCTCAATTTAATCCTTTATATATATAATATTTATTTCAATGCTCTAATAATAAAAACTTCAACTCACCTGCACAATTGTAGGAAAACGTTACTTTTTTTAAAAAAAAAAAAAAATTAATAAAATGTAATAACATTTAAATCAAACATATAATGTGTGTTAACAAGTTGCATGCTTCAAACAAACAATTAATAAAAAGTTTCTTTTAAATGTTTTAATTAAGAGGTGTAAAGTTTAGATTAGACCTCTTAATCAGCATAATAAATACAATATTAGTAGATGCAACTCTTCAGACAAGTACACTCCCTCTGGAGTGGGACCCACTTCAAAAATGTTCGAATACTTTTTATTCTCTTCAGGTTATTTGTATAAAGTAGCGTTTGACAAGTGCGAAGATTCATAATATAATTATATAACATTTACTTCGTCACATACCCAAACAGCAAAACAAAAAGAGCACCGATTTTGCCTTTACTTCGTGTTTTCCCACATCTGTGACCATTTCTGGCGGCACCCACACGATTTTGGTTTCAATTTTGGCAAGTATAGCAACGTTGTACTCCCTTTCCCCACATTGTTTGACACTTTCCCACACCCAACCGACTTTAGTTTTGGGTTTCCCGCTCCCTAACAAATTCAAATATGGGATTAAGCTTATTCGATCAACCAGCAAGCATTTGATGCTGCTGTTTGGCAGCTTTCAAAAGATAATAGGAGTAGTTCGAACCGCGATTCAAACGCGCTTTCCAGCGAAGTTTTGAACCCGTATGGTGAGTTTCAGTAGGTGACAACACACTTTGGCCCTTTTCGAACTTGTTTTTAGTGCTGTAAATTAGTTTATAATAGTTATTGGGATCTCTCTGTTTGTTGTTCCGAACTGATTCCAAGTGTTCGATTTGAGGTTTAATGTTTTGGGTAAGAATATTAATTCTCCACCCAACACTCTCTGGAAGAACTCTGAATAAGGTTCCGAACTGAGTTCTACCCTTGGAACCTTGTTTATATTGCTTTAGAATGTTAGGTTTCTGAATATTCGAATATGTTGTACTCTTGTGTTGATATGGTAATGACTGGGATGTTGGAAGTGTTGTTATGTGTTCTTGTGATTTATGAGGATGATGGTTTTGTTGCGCATATCTTGATATATGTTGAGAGAGTGTTGTTATATGACTCATGCATTTTGGTGAGATTGTATGAGAAAGTGGTCTAAAGACTGTTTACATAAAGGAAAGTTGGGTGAATATCAGGTGCTTCGGTTGAATGACCGACCCTTCTTCCCTTTCTGTTCTCATCAGCTGCTGTAACCTTTTACTTTCCCTTTGTACTGACGATTCTTCATATGTTCTCTTCTTTCAGCTTCCCATTTATAGGCTTTGTTTGTCAAGGTTTAACAATTTAATACATTGGTCCTACAGGTCCTCTGGACTTCATCGCATATGGTGGGGTCGGCTTCGAAAAAGGGGGGAGAAACTCACAAGCAGCTGACAGTGGGTCTGACCATTTTGAAGACATGGATGATTTGGAACTTTCTGTATGTTAGTATGTTTTTTTGGTATAGAGTAATTTATTTCCTTGAACTTCATAGCTTATTTCATTGAGCATTATAGCTAGGTTGGGGAAGAGGAGTACTTGAGCGCCGAAGACAACAAATCTGAGAATGAAGAAGTGGAAGAGGGTGTGATGAAGATCTTCTTAAAGGTCAAGCAGTGAAAAGAATCAAAGGGTATGTCATATTTTTCTATGCTTCCATTTCATGCTCTACTGAATAGGTTCAGTTTTATGTGCAATGGAATACAATTAGCGACGTTCCTTAGTGTTCAAGATTCACACAATATATCCTTTTATGGTTTTAGGCTTTGTGGGACAAAAGTCTTGAGCTTAGATTTTTGCTTCAAAAGGCATTCCCCAGGTCTCTCAGTAGCTAACTGTCGTTTCTTGAAATCTATTCTGTCATATTTTCAAGTGAAAATATTTGGTTCAAAACAGTGTATGTTTTGAGTGCAGGAGCCAATTAAGTCCTCATTTTGTGAATTAGACAAGGGCGTTGAGGTGGCATATTCAGATTTGATTGCATAATTCTTTATTGGAACCCCAAGAGGTATATGAGTTTTCATAAAACATGGTACCTTTCATTCATGATGCCCATGACTGTTATCTCTTCTATCAACTCTGTGGAACTCTGTTATGACAGGCTTTACTTGAAAATAGTAAGCATATCGTCCAAGCCACCGATGATAGGCTTTACTTGAAAGAATAGAAGGGTACTATTAGTGTAGTTATTAGAGAAGTGAGCACTAACTTTGATGGGATTATGCTTATAGCAGTAGGCTTTTGAGGTCAATTACGCACAGTAAATCTATTCTATTGTTGGAAGTTATGAGGATTTTACCAAGATTGACAGATTCAGAAAAGATGATTTTACCAAAATAGAAGGAAAAAAAAAGGAAATGTAAGCGAAGGAAGGTCATGGACATATAAAAGTAAGCAGTGAAGCAAAGTAATGGAGATAGAAAAAAGTGATTCCAACAGGTTCTTAATCCTTAATGCCATTTCAGTGGTACACACAAAATAATTTCAGGAGTCCTCTAATTAAGGAATCGGACTCCTCGTGACTGTTTCACCATCAATAGAAGGTGCACAGTCGTCTGTGGTATGAATTTGGATTCCTGAAAGTGACAGTGAAGGTGAGGAGAAGGTGAAGGTGAAGGTGAATGAGAAGATGTTCTCAGGTTACCCATAGAATATAATAAGATTCATTCATCTTGTGGCCTTGGACGAATCCCCAATCCACTCCTAATACTAGCCCCTTCTTCCATCATGTCTTCCACCTGTTCCAATGCACCCCAACCAAAACCAAAAACTACTAATCAAACCCTGGATTCAAAATTTATGCATAAACCATCCAATACTCAAAAACCTGTGAAAAAATTTACTAAATTCAAACATCAAGCCAGGTGAAAAAGATGCTCAAAGTAAAAAACACAACTAATATCAGCAACAAAGTATCCTAAAAAACTAATACTCGCAACAATGAGTGGACTGCTCCTATATTAGGTTCATTCCTTGTTCCATTTCAGTATTCAATTCAACGAAATTGATAGTTCAATTAAAAATTAACCAAGCTAACTTGGATTTCTCCTGAAAAAAGAGCCTAAATTCACAGCATACTGACAGATGAGATTTGGTTTGCTCAGTTAGTTCTGCAAATGGCGATACGAGTACATAACCAGATTGATAAGTGTACCGAATTAACGTCTAACCTAATTCCAGAAATAAAGGAATGCGACTGGTAAATGCAGTGTGAAAGAAGTGAACCTTGTGGATGCCAGAGGCCTTGAGGGAAGCGATGGCACACGAGGCGCCGCCGCCGACGAAAAGCGAAGCAACAGCGAAGGCCTTTAAGGGCATGAGGCTGGAATTGCCGATCAATCCTCGCCGAAAAGAGGCGATACCCCAACCAAGCTGTGTTGCGCCGGCCAAAGCCCACCACCAGTGGGCGTTGCTAACACCGTCACTTCCTCCGTTCTCCTACATCTCTTTTTGTCCGGTTTCGCTTTTCTCTCTCCTCCCCATTTTGTTGCCGTCGCCATCGCCGTCGGGAAGTCAGAAGCCGTGTGGGCGGTTGGGGTGTGGTAAATGGACCTGGGCCTGAAATGTTTGTATGGTGGGTTTGAACAATTGGTGGGGTTAATTATTTAAAAAATTAGTATTTTATCTATAATTTTGGTTCTTAAAATAGAAATAAATATGTAAAGGGCAGGTAGCCAATATTTGAGCCTGAACTTGGAGATGCGCAATTTTGGGTTGTTCCTTTTTCTTTCCTTACGCGCGACATTGGTAAACCCAAAAGAGAGTGAATAAAATTAAGATATATTTAATTTTGTGTCTAATATCTAAAATTAATAAGCCGGAAGGGGAGCGTGAAGGGTGGGCGCGTGGGTAGAATGAAAGAGTATCCAATGATTGTGGACAAGTGGGCTGTCTGAAGAAGGAGAGACAAAGCAACACACACGAGTGCAATGATGGGACCACGTGTTGTCCCCCTCCCTGCATGTGACCTCCTGCATGTTTCCCACGTGACCCCCACTTCTCTCCCACTTTCATCCTCCTCCTCACGCGCCTACCACCTCCATTTCTTTAACATCCAGATTCTAGAAGCTTTCCCCTTCAAAATGGTCCATACATTAGTGAACCAACGCATCCATTTCTTTTTATTATGTATTTTTATTAAATCGTAAATGGACAAAATTACTGAAAAATTAACCTCTTAACTCTTATATTCACTGTTTTCTGAATACATTAACTATTAAAATCTGCAGATATTAAATTGTATTTATTATAGTTTTATCGAGGATTGGAATAATAATTCACAACGGAATTGGACTCCAGAAGTCAAATCCCATGTTTCCACACTTTTATTTGTTATATGGTTTAAATGGGAAGGAGCACTTGCATGTGGTAACCCCCTCCTTCCCCCATCAGTTCTTTCAAAATGCCTCCAACTCCACGCGCACTTGTAATCCACGCTCTCTCGGCCCCATCATGTGGGCCCTTCGACGCCTGAAACTACCTTTGGATATAACCAATTTGCCTTGTGATGTGGAGCTGTCAAGAGAAGGGCCCCACTCCACGTGATCTCGAGCAGCATAATCATCATCTGATAATTTATTGCGCGTGGACGTGTACTCGGTCAACCAGCGGGAAAGCCGCTTTTTCTTTTTTCTTTTTCCTTTTAAAAAGAAAAAAAAAAAAACTCAACTGAGCTGCTTCGCGGGCTAACCATGGTAAAACTCTATTGATGTAACCATGGTTAGTTTCTTGAGAGAGAGGAGAGAGAGTGGGGGGTGTTAATAAAAAAGCCATTTTATCATGATTGAGCCAATAGCCTCTCTGACATAGGCGATGATTACATCTACACCCCTCGTGTCTCTCTCTCTTATTTTATTTTTTATGTATATGTATTTATTTATTTATTCTCTCTCTGCCTGTATCTATATATATAGTCCCATCCATGCTTTTACTCTGCTGCAGATCACCAGCAAAAGCTATGACATCTCCCTGCTGCACCGTCTCCCCATTTTTCCCACCATTTTCTTTCCTCTCTGCTTTCCCGGAATCCAAACACTAATTAATTACTTCCACTTCTTTCTCTCTCTCTCCCCTATATATTTTCCATCATTGCATTTTGGGCCATTTCGTTCTGTTCTGTGTAGTCTTTGGTTCTTGGAGGAACAAAAAATGGGCGGTAGAGATGACGAGTTGCGGCTGACTTTGAGTTTAGGGTTGGGAGTTCCGACTCGGCCTTCTTTTCAGCCGACTCACATTCACAGGCCATCGCACTCCATGCATAATCACATCCGCAATGGTTCTTGGAATGAGCTCTTTCAATTTTCTGGTAGTTTATTGATTTCCTGTGTTCTTATCTTTTCATTTGCATTTTATCTATTGCTCTACTGTGTTTCTTCTGAGTTTGTGGTGGATCCGTTATGATTTGAAGGATTGTATCTCATGCGAAGATTCTGCTCCGATTTCGCCATTGTCGTCGTCGTTTCTTAGAGAACTGATGATTTTGATAATTTATGAGTATTCGTTCGATTGAGTTTCTGAACCGTCGGTTCTGTATTTTTGGCTTATTTGTTTCGGTTAGATCGAAATGCCGATTCTAGGTCGTTTCTTAGGGGCATCGACGTGAATCGGCTGCCGACTGTCGTGGACGGCGAGGAAGAGAACGGCGTTTCATCTCCGAACAGTACCGTTTCTAGCATCAGTGGAAAGAGGAGCGAGAGAGAAGCCGAGGCGGAGGCGGAGGCCGAGGCTGAGAGAGCCTCGTGCTCACAAGGGAGCGACGATGAAGACGGCGGAGGTGGCGACGCCTCGAGAAAGAAGCTGAGGCTATCAAAGGAACAGTCGATGGTTCTTGAGGAGACCTTCAAAGAGCACAATACTCTCAATCCAGTAAGTGGTAATTTGGTCATTTCGTACGATTCCTCTCTCTACTTCATGTAAATGACTTGTGGCAATTTGGGTGACTATTGAGTTTCACGAGGGTGTTTAAGTCAATATTCGGTGGAGTTGTAAGAAAAGATGTAATTGCACTTTATTGACATTACGGGTTTATCTAGAATCTCGGTTACATTTACGTTACCTTTAAATTGATTGGTTCCTTTATTATTTTATTTTTGTAAATGTCAGAAGCAAAAGCTGGCACTTGCAAGGCAGCTGAATCTGAGACCGAGACAAGTGGAGGTGTGGTTTCAAAACAGAAGGGCAAGGTAAGTAAATTTCGAACTCGGGGTAGTATGGACATTTTAGTCTGCTGGGTTTCAGAACTTAGAAGTCAAATCATTCAGTATCCAGGGCTGCTAAAACCGCCTCCTCGTTAAAAGCGGAGGAGTCGTTGCTTTCGTAATTAATAGGTGCTCTGCCTCTGGTTTTTTAGTAGGAAGGTCAAAATTGTGAAGAGAAGGATTTATTTTGATTCAAGAGCCTTGAATTGTGTGACAGAATGTGAATAATGTAGTTTAGTGTGGGATTAATTGGTGTGGAAATTGTGGATGGGCAGGACGAAACTGAAGCAGACAGAAGTGGATTGCGAGTACTTGAAGAGGTGCTGCGAGAATCTAACAGGGGAGAACAGAAGGCTGCAGAAGGAGGTGCAGGAGTTGAGAGCGCTCAAGCTTTCTCCACAGCTCTATATGCACATGAATCCTCCTACCACCCTCACCATGTGTCCTCAGTGTGAGCGTGTGGCAGTTTCCTCATCTTCTTCCACCACCTGCCATCCAGCAGCGGCTGCTGGTGTACAGCGTCCCTCCATGCCCATCAAACCCATGGGCGGCGGTGTTGCCGATTGAACGTTGATCCCATTTTGTGTTTCCTTGTGTGTATGGATGGGAAATTTTGTTTGGGAGATGCTGGTGAGTTCATAGGTTGGTTAGGTCTGCGTAATCCGCTCCCTAAGATGAATGGAGGGGAGTGAGATAGGAATGGACGATGAGAAATCTTAGGGTGAAATTAAGATGAATGGAGAACCTTTTCTTTGCCACAAATGAAAAGGGTTTTATTTGGATGGGACATAAGTTATTGATTTGAAGATATTAACATAACATAAGATGGTGGTTCAGATGAACAAATCAACGAACTCACATATATATATACTTGTGTGGGTCAGCTCTCCTTACCCTTATATGAATTAAAAAATAATAATTTTTCTAAAATAAAATAAAACAAAAATATCTTACTAAAAGTTAATTTGAAACTTCAACAAAAGCAGAGACTGGATAGAAAGACCTGTTTCTTTTGAACATATTTATTTTTCAAAAGCCTATTTTCTGAAAAAAGAAAATAGTAATAATAATGACCGAGGTGTTAAAAAAAGAAAAAAAATTAGTGTAAGGGCATAGATGGGTGATTTAGGAGGATAGGGGGATAAATGGCATTTCGGGAAATTCGGAAAAGGGCGGCATAAGAGATGAGATAACATATGATGTTAGTTAGAAGATTGAAGATAATGCCGTCGGAATAAGAGGAAAACGGCCATGCCATAGCGTTTTCCGCCATTGTATTTGCAGAAGATATGCTTGTTCCTTGCTCAACGCCCTCTCTTACCTCCGCCCAATCTCTACCTTGTAAGGCCCATTCCACTCCCCATCTTCTTCTATTTGCCCTGGAATGTACATAGATTTATACTCGCATTCTTGGTGTTTTCTATTTTTATATATTCACAATGAACCCTGCTATTACTTGATGGAGTTTGCTAGTGATGGATAGAACTCAGATTATCAACTTTCATGCGAATTTGCTTCGTATCATCTTGTTTTCTTTGCTTAAGAGTCGCTTGTAGAAGAGGACTGCGATTTATCGCCTTTACTGATCTCTCCTCCCCGTCTCCTCATTATTTCCTCATCTGCAAGTTCATTTTTTCGTAGTTCAGCTGTTCTAACCTATTCATTTACCAGAATACATATATATATTTGTCTAATTAAAATTTTAAGCTAGCCCAACAGATTGAACTCTTAAGTAGGTGATTTAATAAGAGTTCTTGTGTTTGAACTTCTAATTGTAATTTACTATCTAATTAATGTTGACTTTCACTTGTTGGATAAATTTTCAAACTCACAAATGAAGGGTGTGTTAAAATATTGATTTTATTACATGTACCACAATTGATTAGATTAAGTTTCTGGGTTAGTAGTGATTGTACGAGATAAAGTAGCAAGTTGACTGTTTGCCTCATTGAATTGGGGAATATTGTATTGCTTCATCTCTACCTGTACCTTTGGTTTAATCAGTCAGTTGACGCCCTGGCAGACGTGGCGTTTTCAGCATGTCCAAAATCAAGAGCTTTCATAACTCAAATCAAGCAAGTACAGCGCTGCTGCTCATGTCATAGTTTCAATCACACCAGGTTAGACTTTGAATATTGGTTGATGATTGTGTTCTGTATTTCACAGTGAAGAAGGTATTTTGAATCAGTTAAGTGCTGACCAGAAAATTTTCCGTGCATGCTCAGTGGAGAGAATTCTTATATATCATCATCCAATGAGAATTCCAGGCGAAAGATTCTGCTATTTTTCTTATCAACTACAGGTTTATTTCCAACTCGGGATTCTTCTGCCAAGACAAAGCTTAAGAATCCATATGATGAAAGACGCTTACTAGAACAAAACAAAAGGAGGCAAAGAGAAAACAATGCACCTGATGACTTCCCAAGCTTTGTCCGAGAAGGTTCGTATCATGCTTCTATTCCTTAGCTGTATCAGGGTATCTTCAAGGCATTGCCTTTCCAAATGTACCTGAAAAGAGAAGAGAGTAAAATTAAGCCAAATGTATATAAAAGATTACATGTTTTCTAATGTGTGGCTCAGGTTTTGAGGTTAAGGTAATAGCACCGGAGACCTATGTAAAACGAGACTCTGGGCTCATATATTGGGATATCGAAGTTGGTAATGGTGATTGCCCCAAGGATGGTCAGCAGGTTTTATTCTCTTTTCTTTTCAATTCCAATATCTTTTCTCCAATTGTCTAGCATAAACAATATTTATCTTTTAGTGGTGTTACATTCAAGATTAGCGAACCAATACGGTGTAGTTAAAGGTGCCCTTTATACTGTGTAGTGCAGTATTAGCATTCTTATTAACTCTTAACTTTGGCGTCTGTCACATGTTTCTATCCTTGGACGATATCCTGGACTAGAAGAGAATTTAGCATGCAGTCAGATGAATATTGCTTGGCTCGCCCGTTCATTTGTCACGTTTTATGATGTCAGTATGAATTAAGAGTTCATTTTTATTAGAGAGAGAGCAGGAAATGAATCCCAATCTCTGATGTCATAAGATAATTTTAATTCCGTTAGTTAAGTTCAGGACTCTCTGAAAGACAAAGCTGAGTTTGAGAGGTGAAAAATGAAGATGGTAAAACTAATTATCAATTGATCTCTGGAAATTTGTATGAAAAATGCTTCTTGGTTTCACATGTCTAATTGTTAAACAATTCAAATGTTGATGGTAAAAATAATTCACCAACCTATAACAAACAGCCGATTTTGTAATGAGTGATTAATATTTAGTTTTATGTTGCATGGTTTTGACATTAGTGGAATTTCCTGGTGTACATTGTGACTCTGAAGGCCCTTTCAGGTGACTTTTCACTATGTTGGCTACAATGAGTCTGGTCGTCGAATTGACAGCACATACTTGCAGGGTTCTCCCGCCAGAATCCGTGTGGGCACTAATGCGTTGGTCCCAGGTAGTTAAGCTACCCCACCTTCACCACACACACCCCCACCCACACACACACAAAAGAGTGAAAAAAAAACGCTCACCAATCTTGTAAAAGCAAGAAGAGATTGACTTACGGTTGAAAATAATCACGTAGCATCTGAAATATTGCAGGATTTGAGGAAGGAATTCGAGGCATGAGACCAGGGGGAAAGAGGAGAATAATAATTCCACCAGAACTTGGACCACCTGTGAGTTCTCAAGCATACGATTGTTGCTTCAATTTTATATAAGCATCTTAAGTTTCTTATAACTGATTGTTATATATGCTGCAATTTTTAGTTATTTAAGGAAAATCCAACCATAATTTGACCTCCCATTGCTAATTTTCCCTTCATTTCATCTCCAGCTAGACAAAGCTCTATCTTTTACCATGAGATGGTTTATATTAGTACACAACAAATTAAACAAGGTTTTCTTGCTTAGCAGAAAACTTGGTTCTCGATAGATAAGCGCTATTGGAGAAGATTATATACTAGGTTGGGGCAAGTTAGGTAGTCGCCTACTCAAGATAAAGGAGCAATGTAATAAAGGAACTCCAGCAAGCATTGGCCAAAAAGTTGGACAAAATAAGAGGACAAAAGCAAACGTCCAACAGGTGATAGGAAATCAACCCAAGAAGGCTTATTACAAAAATTTCCTCAAACCAGCTTTAATAGAATAAATCTTACTAATCCAGAAAACCTCGGTTCTATATTTAAACCAGGGACCACAGAGTAGATGTTCTTAATAATTTCCAAGCCTCTTGGAGAAGCACTGCAATAGGTAAAATTCCTTTCGGAGTTTATTTTGAAAATCTTTTCATGTAGGGACATTGGAAAAACAGGCCCTTCTAGATCTTCATTCTCACAATTGCAATGTACACACTAATATGGACGAGGGCAAAATAAAAGAATGACCTTCTGAACCCAATCAGTCCTGTTGACTCCACCTAATGTTAAGGGCCTTTCTTTCTAAATAGTAAATAATTTGGGACAGCTTTGGGTCAGAACACTGATTTGCTAGTTAGACGGCTGAGTTGAATCGTGCATGACAAGATGCCCGAACCATCAACTATTAGATCAAAGAACCTTTACTGTTGCTTGGTGAGGAGTCCCCAGCACGTTTTTTGAGAATTTGGCTAGCTCAATTATCTCTCTATCAAATGAACAATCTTCTATCCTGCATATGTGAACCACCTTTGTTCGCCTTCCAGCTATTCTTGTTTGATAAAACTACGTTAGTGGCCACCTAATGAAGACTAGAGAAAAAAAACATCGAGCTATTCAGAGATCCACACATCTTCCCAAGAAGAAATATTGTCACACTTTCCTGCCTTCAGAGAAAAGGAAAGTTCACAAAGATGTTATATTCGATGATGAATCTTCTAGGACTTCTTTTCATAAGATCTCTTCTTTTGGCAATAAACCAAGCTCCCTTAAGAACCTCAAACCTGCAACCTCGTATTTGCAACAGTAAAGTTCTTTAACGCATTCACTCTTAAAATTTTTTGTACCCATTTAGATGCAATAGCCACAAATTTCTGCATAAAATTTTCACAAACCTAAGCCTCCAGCAATCAGATGAAGAACTACTGAACTCCATTGAATTAAGTGAATTCCTCCCTCAGTACATAACCTCCTTTGCATAGTCATTTATAGTTCTCTCTCATGTTCCCTTGGCTACATCTTGGAACGAAAGAAATTTCTTCTGAAATATATACAAGTTAACGCTCCTTCTTGCGAGTAATATGAAAAGGAAGCTTGTGATTAAATTCAAAGACAACTTCAGAATGGGCATGATACGAGAGAATATTGCCTTGTCGTAGAGCCACAAACTCGCCTTTTTGTCCTTTCTTATCTGCCAGCCTCTGAAACTGGATTCTGATAATTTTCTGCTCCACTTATTTTGTGCATTGCTTCCATGCAAGCAAGACACAAGAGGAATTGGATCCTGGTAGTAATCTGCTCCACTTATTTTGTGCATTTCTTCAATGCAAGTAAGACAGAGGAGGAATTCTGGATTTCTGTTATCTAATCAGAGATGCGGATAGACTTCATTGATTTGTCTTGGAGTAAAATTGTCTTCACAGTTCCCATATCTTGAAAAACTTATGGATGGATGGATACCCATGTCTTAATGATTTAAGTCGAGAAGGCAGAATGCTCGCATTAATGTTCACTTGTTTGCTTGCCTCGATGGTCTCCATTTTTTTTTTTTTCTGCGACTGATGTGATGTCTGATGATTTATCTCAATTGATTCGACTTTTTATTATCTTCAGGTGGGGCCTTCCACATTTTTCAGCTCGAA